GCATTCGAAGGGCGTTCTCCTCTCGGCGCGCTGCAGCAGCTTCCTCTCCCAGCCTGGCGTGGTACTCCCGGAACCGCTCTGCTCCAGCTGCTCGCCTGGCTGCGGCTTCGGCCTCGGACTCTCTCGCTGCAGTCTCTTGTCTAGCACGCTTGCTAGCTGCAGCTTTGTTAGCAGCCTTGGTGGCTGCACTCTTCCTTTTGCCCATCTCAACCTGCAGAACAATAATGATTGATTAGAAACTGATAAAGTAGAGGTAAAGTATTTTCCTTTATAAACCTCACTATTTGGCATAGAGTAAGAGTTCTGTTTTATGCTGTAAGTCATAGTCATTATTATGGTGGAAGTAAGTCAGTGAAGAGAAGTATATTTGAAAAATATAAGAACCAAAGAGTAATTGTATAAATGAACAGCAAATTACAGTCAACTGGTTCTATTGCAAGCCAAAATATCTATTAAATTAACAATAAACGGATTGTCGATGACAACCAAAAGTAAAAGATAGCATACTTTGCTCGAATAAAATACGTTGATGGTTGTTGGAAGTTCGCTAAATAGTTTGAATCATGTAGAGGAACAATATATAACTGAGCAAATAGCTGAATCAAATCTTTATGAGTTCCTCACATAATAGTCCATTTAATGTATAATTTGATCTTTCATTTATGATACAATTGATATTCTTTTGTTCCTGCTATGCATGTGAATCGAGTAAGTCACATACATAAGACGGAATCAGCAAAACTAAATACATCTTATTTATATATCAATACAAACTTCAAAAGAATAAACAAAAGTAATTCAATAATTTAAAAGTAAAACTATTAGCTTCTGCAAACAAACCATTGATAGAAATATATATAAAATAAAAACCAAAACAAACTTCCTCAAGTGTCAGAGAGAGCCATTCAGTAGAGGTTAGATCAAATCCTAGCTTGGACTCACCACAGATTCGGTATGCAGCAACCTTTTTCAACACTCAAATAAAACTGGTTACACATAGAGTGGATCATGATAGAAACACAACAAACCATCTCGGGAGATGTCATATCTTTCAAACCGCTTGAATTTGAGAGCACAACAGGTACGGATTGTATACAAACATCCATGACGTTGAGTAAGGTCAAGGTCGCGAAGGCGAGAGGGGAGAGAGGAAAGGGAGGTTAAGGGGGGGGGGGGGTAAAACGGAAACGATGATGTCGCGGAACTCGCACGAGAATTTGAACGGAGATCAAACCCTGTCTAACAAAATTACATTCGCACTCACTGTGTTTACCGTACCGACCGTACACCTCAAAAAGAACAAACAAACAAAAATAAACACTTTCGGAAACCAAAAAGGACTAGCACACGCAAACACACCAATTATGAAAATCTTACCAAACAGTACTAGAATAGTTTCGTGAACAAAACTTGCAGTACTTTGCACTGATATGCAGGGGAGAGGGAGAGGGGGGGGGAGGCGTAACAACACATATCAATATATACACAGAAACTATTTAAAAACATCTCGCTTGACACATCTGAACTCTTTAGAAGTACTTACCAACACTCGAGATGAACACAGATGAATCAAAAACCTTCTAAACACTCACAAACTCACTTTTTCAATAATAGCACGTAACCGCTGTCGTAATCATTCAAGATGGCGGACAGCGGGGCGAGCGCTTCGAGCGGCGGCCGCTAGGTGGCGCGCGGCGTCACTTAACTCGGCGGGCCAATCACAGCTGGAGCTGCGGTCGCACTCAATGTAGCCACCACACGAAAGTAAAACTTCACTTTCAAAAAAGGACTATATATTTCAAATCAGCCAGTCACGAACAAAAAGAGGACACTGGGTGTCCCTTAAATTATCGATGTTGAAGCAAACTTCCATTTTGTCATCGGTTTAACCGTTTTCCAAAAAAAGAGGAACGCAGACACGGACAGACAGACAGACAGACTCACGACGGAGACATCGCCTGACCCCTCAGCGACTTGGACTGAGCTTCGCTCAGCGATTAAGCTGTTTCGTAAAATGTCCGCAGAACTTGTTGCTGCTGCCGCGGTGGTGGCGTGGCGGATGTGCTGCTGTTGCTAGCTTCTTCGCGAAAGATTTAACCGTGACCGCGCGAGCAAAGAAGAGACAGCCGCATGGGAGTGGTCGGAGAGAGAAGCGAGACAGAGAGTTGTGGAGGAGAGATAGCTGCTGGTGAGGGGGAGGGGGGAGGGCAAGTAACGGGAGGAGGTGGAGGGTGGCAGCCACGAGTAAAGGGAGAACAACGGGAAGGAGCGCTGAGAATATTAAAAGTGAAGATGCAGTGGAAAGCGAGCAAGTGGCCCGCCTTCTTGGGCTCGACCCGCGTTGTTTGCTCAAAACGAACATCCTTGCGGCAGGGCCGTGGCAGGGCCGCGGCCCGCTCGAACAGAGGAGGGGAACATCCCCCACCCTCTCGCCCTCTCCTCCTTCCTCCCAGACCGCACCAGTGCTGCCGAGGAGGAGGAGGAGGAGGAGGAGACGGCGACGACTCAGTGCTAGAGGTTTCCCTTCAAAGTCGTCCGTCCTCCAACCCACACCGTACGACAAGCAGTCCGTAACACATGACGACGTACACAACTAAAAATACGACGAAATAAAAATGGTCTATCTCCCTTGGTTCGTAAGTTCGTGTCGACCCTGACGTCCCGATGGCCCTGCTGCTCCGGTCAACCAACTTGGAGAGCAATGCGATTAAGACGCGCAAACCTATATACCTACTTCAGTTAGTACGCCTTGCGGTGGCGCCTCAGAATGCTCTCCAGCCGTCGCCACCGGGGGGGGGG